ATTATTGGTGCATTGTGTGTTTTTTTTTCATTAAAAAAGTATCCTTTCATTAATTTATCTAATCATGTTAATTTGTTTTTCGTTGATCTCTATTGATTATGTTTTTGCTTACAATTCAATCTGTCTAAGATTTTCGATCTCTTAGAAGTTAGAACACCAGAGGAAACAACTATCCATCAAATTGACATTCGAATAATTTTCAAATTTTCATACTAATCACAAGTCCTTGTGAATTTCAGGTGGGGACGTACTTTGTCGGGCAATACTATCAGATGCTACAGAACCAGCCAGATTTTGTGCACCAGTTCTACAGCGATGCGAGTACCATGCTTCGGATTGATGGAAACGCCAGAGAGAATGCTACTGCTATGCTGGTATTTTATTTGAACCCTTATCTTCATTTACATGAATTTATGAATCAGTCGATCGAATTTTAGACTTATGGATATGGATTAAAGAAGATGTCTAGAGGACCACTAATATCGTAATAGTAATTAAAAGAATAAAAATGAAGCTTTACATTGAATTGTATGGAGATGAATGTGCTATAATATTTTTGAGGCTCTCTAAGTTGTGTGCATGACTCGACTACTCTTAAATTGGTTTGCCTGATTCTTTTCTGTTTCTGGTGTGTTTATTGATTATAATTGATAGTTTATGTTATTTTTAAAATTATGAATGCTTTATTTTGACTAGTTCGAACGCTAATATTAATGTATGTTTAATCTGTATTTGATCCAATGTTAACATTCACTTTTGCTTGTAATCTATTGTTATATGTGTTATTTATGCACCAACACTTCGAAAAAAGAACTTGTGCTTTCTCAGTATGATTTAGAAACTGACACGTGCTCTTCACGACATTTGTCATGCCATAAAGTAAATGGAAAATTATCCAGCGTAGACTGTCAAAACTGGTGCTATATCCCATTTGTATCAGATTTCCTTTTTTTTCCCTCTTTCATATTCATAAATTTTAGAGATCGTAAAAAGAAAGCTAAAAGAAAATCCGTAAAACCAAATTAAAAAATAATTACCGCATCTAAACCACGTTCTCTCTCTTATTGAGCATTTGTGCTTAAACCGATTCGTTTTCCCATCCCTACTCCACTTTATCACACCATCATGCGTCCTAAGATTTTCTAAATTTATTTTATCTTGTGTTCATTCAACATAGATGTAATTAGAGTTTTTTGGATGAATGGTAAACGCGTTTTATATCCTTATATTTACAGCATATTAATTGCTCAAAACTAACTGAATAATACTTATTCCTGTTCATTTTTTTTTATGATTGTCATGAAACATCATTTTCTTGCTCTAGTAGGGATCAATATTAAGTTCCTTTATTTTATTAGATCTTTTCATCCAATCCACCAACTAATCTCAAACCAATAGGAGCATTTAATAAATTTCTAAAAGAAAATTTTCAAGTAATAATTTTCATTTTACAATTCAACTAGTAATGTCAATCATTTTCCTTAAGCAGCTAATTAAATGCTCAAAATTAACTGCGTCGATGGGGGGTACATTAAGTTTTCATTTTCTTACATTTTTTTTGGCAGCAAATCCACCATCTCGTCATGTCACTCCACTATACCTCAATAGAGATCAAGACTGCACATTCCTTAGAATCTTGGAATCGTGGAGTGATAGTGATGGTTTCAGGTTCAGCGCACGTAAAGGGTTTCAATGTGAGGAAGAAGTTTGTGGAAACTTTTTTCCTTGCACCTCAAGAGAAGGGATACTTTGTTCTCAATGATATTTTCCATTACGTTGATGAAGAACAAAATCTGCTGCATCCAATTGCATATTTGCCGCAGAGCAATCTTGATTCCAAGCTCTTTTCCCCTGCCACAGTTCGAGAACAAGGTTCGTTTCTTGAGTCTGACTCTTTTAGATGAAATTCACTATAAAAGGATTCTTTTGCAGCATGTTGAAATCGTTATTCAACCTGAACTTAACAAACAAACCTAATATGAATTTGCTTTCATCTTATGGGGATTTCTCATAGAGAAGAGGAGAGGTGGTAGGATGTTTTAGTACTTTCTTAGGTGGTTAGGTTGAAAATTTAAGTTTTATTGAGAAAAGTTTTGAAAATTAAATTAGATTCCCAGAAATCATGAAGCAATCACGAATTAGTCCAATTTTTTGTTTTGTTCTATATATTTCTAATATTTTCAAATGTATTCATTTATTTTTGTACAATTGAAGATATCTATTGATCATTATTAAAACAAGTTCTGACTCTAATTCGTATGCACATATCTGACTATTTTCGACAGTGCCCAGTTACATGTTGGGTGGAGATATTCAGCCCCACGAGTTTGCTGCTCCTTCAAAAATTGAAGATGACGATGAAATCCATAACTACAACTATACCGAGGAACATATACAGCAAATGCCTGAAGAACACATTTTGGAAGAAAATTTTGCGTTGCATTCAAATGGCTCACTTTCAGGGCCGACAAACTATGTACCCGACCGTTTATCTTCACCTTTCGAAGAACCAGTCTCGGAGCCGCAAAAACATACTTACGCTTCTATAGTACGTGATCACAACTAATTCTCACACTTCTTTGAAATGTACAGTGCACTTCCATAACTGCAGTTAACTCAAAAGAGTGTAAGCTCATTAAATCATTGATTTTATTTATCGGAATTTACAGGTTGCTAAGAAACAACCTGCTCCAGCAGTAGTTTCTCAACCGTCATTTAACAAGCCCGCTCCTCAAGAATCGCAGCATTCACATGAAACGCCTAGTCAGCCATCGTCTGATCCAATGGAGAGGTATGGGATTGAAACCCCAGACGAGACATCAGTTATGGATGATGAAGGTGACCTTTTCCTACTTTGCTGTAATGATATTTTTCGTTTTCTGATGTATTAAATCCAACATAATAAGTACTATTAATATATCGTATACAGTTGAAGTGAAGTCAGTGTATGTAAGAAACGTACCAACAACAATGGCTGCTTCTGAAATCGGGGAGGAATTTAAAAAGTTTGGTAAACTCAGGCCTGATGGAGTGGCTATCAGAACTCGGAAGGTCAGATTTGTGCCTCCCTTTCTCTTTGTATTTTTAATTTTTTTTGCCATCTTTCTCAAATTCTACACGTGATATATATCTGCAGGATATAGATGTATGCTATGCTTTTGTTGAATTTGAAGATGTCTCTGGTGTGCAGAATGCAATTAAGGTTTGCGCTTCCATATTCAAAATGATTCTTCTTCTTTTTTTTTTTTTTTTTTTTTTTTTATTATAATATGTCCATAGTTAGACCCTTATGCTGCATTATATTTTTCCTTATAGGCATCCACAGTTCAGATTGGTGCATATCAACTCTACATTGAAGGACGAAGACCGAACAGAATTAACTATATCCGAGGAGGAAGTACGTTTTTTCCTCTCCGTTTCTATTCAAGTTCAATCTTTTTCTAGGCAATTAATTACTACTAGAATCTTGTCATGCATTTTGTCGATCTTGACCTTCAGTAGTGGTGGACACATTTACGGTTTTGAATTCAATTCAGTTACCAAGTTCTTCTAGCTGAATGAAAACCAAAATCCATTTTTTTCAATCGTGAGGATATTCATTAGAAATTATTGATTGAAATGTCTTTCATGGCTGGCTTTGACTCAAACAGGAGGAAGGGGTAGAGGCAGGGTAAGCTACCAGATGGAAGGAACGAGAGGGCGATTTGGTGGCCGCGGTTTTGGAAGGGCGGTTAATCAAGACGGATATGATCGTTATTACAACAATAACCCTAGAGGGAATGGGAATGCCAACGGTTACTATAGGCAAAATCCTCGACAAGAAAGGGCAAACCAGCAAGAATCGGCAGACTGGCAAAACTTTTCGGAATGAACTCACCTGTTTGAAGATGAGGGAGAAACAGAATAGAACGTCTTTTCAAATATTAATTTATTTTTTTTCCCTTTATTTATAAAGTTTTAGAAAGGAAATTAAATTAAATATGCTGGTGGGGATCATTGCAGTATATCTTTTTTGGGGGCTATTTACCTGTTATTTCTTTTTGCTGTTACTAATTAAATGAGGTTATTTTAAGGATTATTTTTTTTACTTTAGCAGCATAGGTTAGTTGAATTTGGTTTTTGTTATATTATTAAGGGCAAATCACAACTACACCCTTCAGGTAATGTTAAATTCCAAAAAAATCATTCATGTTTGAATAATTATTACAATCGTCCATCATTTTATGGTGCCAAATTTATCTACTTAAAGATGGGTTTTTTCGTAAGAAAATATACAGTTGAGGGGTAATTGTAATAATTAAACATGAAGAATTTTTTCGTAATTTAACCTTCGATCCTAATTTACAAATTTAGGAAGCATGATTTTATTGAATAATGCAAAAAACATCAACTTTGAAGATCAATACAAAAGACTCAAAGCACAAGAATTACACACACACACACACACACACACACAGACGTTTTCTCAAACATGTTATGTGCAGATGATTGATTTACTTCTTCTGAATATCAATGGCGGCATTTGCAGAAGCAATATCTTCATCCAGGAACAAATCCCAATGCCCATCCCATTTGATGAAGAACTCTGTATCTTCGTAATACTTCACTCTGTGTACGTCTCCCGCCGGAGTGAACAAATAATCCCCAATCCCTAAATCGTACTTCTCCGATTTGGTCAGATTCCACACACATTTACTCCCCTTTGTAACCACTAGATCGTGCCCAAATGTATGGTGGTGTGCTGGCTCCACGCTGCCGGCCTTAAACCTAACTATGGCCGATGTCGGGGTTTCTCGGAGAATCTTCATCGATCCTCCGGGCATTATATCCACCGGAGTGAACTCGTTGTCCTGCCGCGATTTCGCCACTGAGCAAATGAAACACGGCGGATCGGCGGCGGCGGCGGCGGTGGTGGTAGTTTCGTCGCCGATTTTGGACATTTCGGTGACGGATCCGTCGAGAAAGGACTGGATCTCCTCCGGCCATGGGTTGGATCCGGAGGCTGGGCAGGGGGATTTGAACGGTGTGTTGAGGAAGGTGGTGAGGATCTCTGCGGCGGCTTCGGGGGCGGTGGACATGCCGGAAACTGCCAGGACGTTGCAGTTGCTGATGGATCTGGCGTTTAGGGCGTCGCCAGGGGTGAGGCAGGTGGCGGCGTAGACTCCGGGGAACTTGTTGGCGAAAATCGCGACGCCGACGCCGGTGCCGCAGGCGACGAGGCCACGTGTTTCGACGGCCGATTCGGTGTTTTTCGCTGCTTGGCTGACTCGGCGGCCGACTTCTTCGCCGACGGAGTAGTATTTGGTGGTGCCGAGGTCTTCGACTTCGATGTCGAAGGAGCGGAGCTGCGCCACGAGCGTATCCTTGAGGCTGCTGCCGAAGTCGTCGGCTCCTGCTATGATTTTCAGGGGGCGGCCGGCGCCGGCGACGGCGGAGGTGGGTTTTTCGTGCGCCATGGATTTTAGTCAACAAGAGGAGTGTTTCTGGATTAGCTTAGCTATTGCAAACTGCACATGTATAATTACGGTCCTCAGATGAAGTAAAATTTCTTATCGATCTTTTTGTCCTATTGTTAATATTTTTAATAATATTTAATCATTAATTAAATATGGAAATCTTTTTGTCCTATTGTTAATATTTTTAATAATATTTAATCATTAATTAAATATGGAAATATTACTTTATTAGAAGAAATTATAAATACTAATCTTGATTTTCTACCTTAAAAGATTGTATTACTGTGATTTTAAGCCCTTGGAGCATCTCCAAGAGCATGATGCATACCTATATTTTACATCTTTTGCACAATTTGGACCCAATATCACCTCTCCAACAACAAAATGGGAAAAGGCAAAATTTATTAAATTTTAACTTTGCATGTTCAAAATTGAGAAACCAAAATTACAATTTAACAAATTGTGTAAAAATAAAAAATAATAAAAAATTTAAAATTCCACAACCCATCCCTTTCAACCACCAAATCTGCAGTAATTCAACTCCAACTGCCAATATCAACTATCAATTTAATTCATCAACCACCACTGTAAAAAAATTTAACACCAATCAACTCTATAAATTGTGGTATTTGATTTCATCAAAAATCATCCTCAACTGGAAAGGAAAAAAAAAAAAAAAACCAGTATCTAAAAGAATTTAAAGAGGTAAAAACTTACATGGATTTTAAGCCCATCAATTGAAGATGGTAAAACTAGTTCTCTACCATCACTCCTATGTCAATCTCCAAATAATGGAGATATGGACGGTGGATGAGAGCCGGCATGATTTTTCCTCAGCTCGTTTTATTTTTTATTTTTTATTTTTTTTGGCCCCTATTCTGTTTTCTGCTTCTAGTTCTTTTGCGAGGGCTTCTCTTGAGGATTTGGTGGAGAAATATTGAGAAAACCCTAGATATGTACAAAATATATATTTAGTGCGTTTGTTTCTCAAAAGGAAAAGGAGAGTTATTGGCTACTTTTTTTGTCCATCAATATTATTTTTATATATATTAACTTAAACAATGTATTAGTGCCTATTTTTTTTTAATTAGAAAAATAAGAGTTGTTGGCAATTTTTTTGGTTTGTTTTTTTAAATTAAACTAGTATATTATCCCGTGCGATGCACGGGATTATTTTAAAAATTAAAACAACAATTATAAAAAGAGTAAAATCAAATTATTTTACTGTATACCTATAATTGATTGAATATGATTTTTTCCAGCTATGTATATACATATTCTTGATGAATTGTTGCATGTCTTCAGGGGCCGAGATATTCTATGATCAAAAGCTTTGTGGTTGAGACTTGAGAAATGAACATATAACAACATTAAATTTATCACATAGCAGCATCATTGCTAATTGTTGTTATCATGGCAATATTAAATTCGTGTTTAATTATATAGATAGTTTCATAATCGTCTACAAATTTGATTGAGAAATTGAAAATGAACAATGTCATAAGGAAAATGAACTTTTCCGAGCTTAGTATTTTTTTCTTTTAATGCAAATAACACAACAAAGAGAGCAAAATAAAACAAATAACATATCAAAATTTCAAAGAGCATCAATATTTTTTCTTGTAAACAACACCAAAGTACATTTCGAAAAAGAGCAAAATAACGCAAACACCCGAACACAAAATCAAAGACCTAGTGGAGACATTTTAGGAGTATTTGTTTCATGAGTTCATTTTAGAAGTATTTATTCAATAGGAGAAAAAGAAACCTTTAAATTTGGTCGACTTTATAAGTTATGATCTGTATTACGGAAATAGTTCATCAACTGTGATTAAGAATTAAAGATAAGCAATTCAGATATACTTGATCAGAATATTTGTTGATTATTTAACTTTTTAAAGTTCACAAAAGGACTCGCATGAAATAATTTTTACCGACCACGCCACTTTAATCGCTACATGGTTGATCGAAGTTTATATAAGACACAAACATGAATCAACATTAAGACAGGATTATCATTTTTATCAGTAAGATTGACGTAATGGTAAGTAGCATATACTGTTGGCTGACTTAATAAATTACTAAATGCATGAATTAGTTAACCATCTGATGAAACAAAGGATGCATATAACAGATGCAATAAAAGAAGCACTAAAAACAAACATTAGGGGAAAATAGAATCGAGAGCTTTATTTTCACAAAAGCTTAAAAAAATGTTTAACATGTTGCTTGCAAAACAGTGTAAAAATGAAAAACAATACGGATAATGGATGAGTTTTTTTTTTTTTGTCAACTTGCAACTCAGGCACTAAAGAAATTCAAAATTAGAACGTGAAAATATACAGAAAAATCAAATAATTGTGGAAACGTGAAAACCTGAAAGGAGGTGAAGGAGAACAATGAGAATTGTAGACTCGTGTGCTCGACAGTTGCTTCCTTTAAGAAAAATTGGGATGAATCATTTAACAATGTATTAACATGTACATAAATTACAAACTATCTGCACAAAAGAAGCAATAAATTAGCAAAGTAAACAAACAAAACAAACGAAGAAATTTCAGAAAATCACAAAACCTATTCAACACAGTAGTAAACAAACAAATAAGGAAAACAAAAAGAAAGAAAGAAGAGGAATAGGGAAAAAGGGATTTAGGGAAATACACGAATAAAAAAGAAGGAATTTTATAAAATCATAAACATTTTTCACATAGTAGTAAATGAAAAAGAAAAGAAGGAACATTAGAAAATCATAAACCTATGAAAAAATCATGAGAAGTAGAGAATCAAAAGAAGACGACATAAACTGCATGCTCAAGTAATTAAGTAAAATCCGTGACGAACTATAAACCTTTTGCTAGTTAATCAGTTGTATCAACATAAAATAATTTTTTTTGCATCAATTTGTATCAACATATAATTTGTTTTAGTTGGAAAAAAGTAAAACTTGCCAGATTAACTCGAAATACAAACCTTCTGGTGGATCGCGACATCTCTTGACGTCTCTTCTCCTCGATGTTTCATGTGAGAATAAAACTAATAAATAATCAGTTGTGCACAACATTAATTGGATGTGACCAAAAAATTGAAAGAAGTAGAAAGATATATATACTTTTATGAGGGAAGTAGTATCATCATAGAGTATGAGCGGACATTGCATAAATGTTCTGGCATAATTTAAAACACAACTTAAGCAATTGAAATGTACATTATTCATTTCAATTAAAACCAAACCAAAAAAAAAAAACACGAAAAGAACATCAAAAAGAGAAGTCCTTTTCAACAGAGCCATAGAAAACTCACCAGATAGAAAAAGCACCAGGATGCATGGCCCATCATAAAATGAATTTTGTTCAACCTCATTCCAAACTCCCTGGTTAAAATGCAGACCTAAAACCTTCATTGGAAAGACAACATAAAAATAACACACACATAAGTTGCATAAAATCCCTGAATAAATAATAGCACAAAGAATCGTGCAATAATAACGATATATGCACATAGCGATAAGCCGATAATCATAATTAACAACAATTAAAATATTTTGGAGCCTTTTTTGGACTCATTTAAACCTTAAACATAACAAATATCTGGAACTAAACTTATCAACGTATTCAGGAAAGAAAAAAGTAAAAACAAAAAAAACCTTGAAATCTCGACAGATGAAAAACTCCAGAAGTGAAATCTCCGCAAACTGCAGCGGTGCCACCTTCTCGTAAAAGTATAATTAAGCTATATAAGGGAAGGAGAAATACCTGAAAATGGAGAAGAAAGAGAAGCATGAAATTTTTGTATGTTAAAACCGAGTGATTTTCAAATTTTTCATGAACCGAAAATTAAAAAATTGAAAACATCTTTATTCGTAGAACACAATTGACAAACAAAATAATTTCTGACTACCCGTAGAGTACGTTTAAATAGGATAATAATTTCAAATGGAGTTGAGATGAAACTGCTTCAGGCTTTTTCTTTGGTTCGTGTATGAGTGCTCGAACTTTTCTAGTAGTTGATGGATAGGGTTAAAAAAAAACCAAAAGACAAATAAAACTAACATGAACGTGTACAAAAAATCAGGAAAAGGAATAAAAAAAGAAAACTGCCATAGACGTGCTTAAAGAAAACGGCAAAAAATTCAACGTGTAGAAGTTAGTCATAGGATTTTATATATGATTTACCGAAAATAACCTTAGGGTTATAATTATTTCACAAAAATGGGATTAGGGTTTCGGGGCAAAACCTTTCTTTTATATATAAAGATTTACAGATTATTTTTCACACAATATGTTTCAATGTATAAAAACAAGGAGTATTTAAATTTTTTAATATAATTTTTTTAATATACGTATAGTGATAAAAACATTTATATTTAATAATTAATAATTTAAAACTAAAATGTTGTAAAATAATAAAATATAATAATTGTGTAAAATATAAATAATGTTGTTGGAGGGTGATGTTAAAAGTGGTATTGCATAACACTGTTCATCTCTTAAATTATAGATATAGACAATCAGATATTAGACAACTTTTGAAGATGGCCTTAAGATCATTAAATTTGGAAAATAATGTATAAAATTTATTAATAAACTATTCGAGTGACCATTGACCAACATACGAGACTACCCGTGCCAAGTTTACTCGGTGCACATAATTTGTTGATTGCGATTTCTTTCATTAAAAATTAAAAATTACTCGTGCCAAAAAAAGAATAAAGATATCAATTATGTATACAATTTTTAATTTTTGATATATAAAAAATAATATTTGCACTAAATACTATAAATAAAAATATAAATAAATACAATAATTTAAAATTTGTTAATAGTATAAACACTAATGAATGCAAACTTGTTAAATCTAGTTTTAAAATTTTAAGTTTGTCTTCTAGTAAAATTCTAATGATAATTTATATACTATGATTATTCTGATTAACTATAATTACTTATCATTAGTAATAATTTCGTATTATCACATTTGATGAAGAAATTAAACAGTTCTTTTAAGCAAAACAACAAACACCTTACGTGCATTATCCCATTTTCAACCATTCCCAATATTCACAAACATTTAGTCAAAAAAAAAATTCCTTTTTTTATTTTTTTATTTCTCCCCGATTTCATGTTCTCTAGAGAGGCCCACATCCTCTCCTTCCCCGCCATCTTCTGGTTCTCTCCACCCATTCCCTCGTCGGCCCGTCTCCCGACGGCGGGCGGCGGATCAACCACCACCGTGTAAATCAATCCCTGTAATTCCCAATTCCCATTTCCCCCCTGTTCATCTTATATATGCTTCATCGTCTTTTTTCCATATGGCGGCGCGTGGGATGAAGCCTTTCCAGCTCCTGGAAATAAACATTATCTCCGGGCAGGATTTGCAGCCCGTTTTGAAGAAGATGCGGACGTATGCTCGGGCTTGGGTCAACCCGGGCCGGAAGCTATCGTCGTGCGTTGATACCGAGGGGAACAATAATCCAACGTGGAATGACAAGTTTGTATTCAGGGTGGACGATGATTTTCTCGGTGAAGACACCTCCGCCGTCATGATTGAGATCTACGCCGCCCATTGGTTTCGTGACGTCATCGTCGGTACTGTTCGTGTCCTCGTCGGAAACCTCATCCCCCCTCCTCTCATGACGCGCCGCAACGGCGGCGGCCCCATTGGCATGCGATTTGTTGCTCTTCAGGTTCTGTTTTTCTCTTTATTTTTTGCAACTTTTTTTTTTTTTTTTTTTTTTTTTTTTTTTTTTATTGAAACTGCCATGTAAGGATTGAATATTGTGGATATTCCGATAATCAGAGTGTTTCGATATCGAAAAAGGTCGATTTTTTAATTGTGGATATTCCGATAATCAGAGTGTTTCGATATCGAAAAAAGGTTGATTTTTTAATTGAATTATGTGATCAATTTGCTAAAACATGAAATGTGGATGGAGTATTGAACATCAATTTGGTTTTTATAAACATTTCAAACAAATCAATTACTCGTCTGAACATCGAAGTCCTAATCCGTTACATACGGATCGATTTCGTCGTATCTTGACGGTCAAGCAATGTCGATATAGATAACATCAGCAGCCACTTTTAAGTGTGCTCTGTAGTGGTCATGTTATATTTGGGAGCATTGAAACTTGGATCATATTTTTCACATGTCAAAATTAAATTTGTCGGATTTTAGGTACGTCGTCCATCGGGGCGGCCACAAGGAATACTAAACATCGGTGTAGCCTTACTTGACGGCTCTATGAGGAGCATGCCTTTGTACAGACAACTAAGCGCCTCGGCTGTCGGATATCGCGACTTAATGCAGGACCCTCAAAGCTTTCAGCACCTCCAACAAAAGGCCAATCAAAATAACGAAAACAACAATAATAATAATAATAACAATGGTAATAATAATGTGAAGCCCATACTTCGCAGATCGAGAAGCGAGCGAAGCGAGCGGGTCACGTTCGATAACTACTCCCCATGCAGCTCGATTGTCGCGGTGCCGAAAGGGAAAGACGGCTCTGTAATCAGCATTTCCGAATCTGCAGATCCGTTTATACTAATGAAAAAGAAAGGCAAGGCTAGTTCGGTCATTAGTGGTGCCGAGCTCCGAGACAAGAAACCGAAACACAAAAAGGGAGGCAAGCCGAGTTCCGTTGTCAGCGATTCCGTTTACAGCAAAGGGTCGTCCAGCTTTTTCAAGATCGGTCAAAAGGAGACAACAAAGATTAGTGACGAATCGAACGGGGTTCCTACAAACAAGGTGGTTGACGAGAAATCAGTGACGAAAGTCAAGCCTGTCCAAAATGCGGTGAAGCCTCCAATTCCAACAATTGGGAAGCCAATTGCTAAGGGCCCCACGAAATATGGGGGTGGTGGGGGACACCACCCCCAATACAAGGCGAGCTCGATATGGTCGGACTCGGAGGTGGGGCCCTCGCCGTCTGAGGTGGCGGCAGCGATGATGGCGGAGAGGCGATACCCTTTGGACGACAACCAGAGCTCTGTTTTGGATGGGTGGAGCATGGACGAGAGCGTCGAAGGGCTTAGATCGAAGCTCGAGAGGTGGCGGATGGAGCTGCCGCCGCTTTACGATAACGGGTTTTCGTCGAGCAGCTATAAGTCGTCCGGCCGCCAGGTTCGTCGGAGAAACGAGGGCAGCGGAGGAAGTGGCCTTTTTTCATGCTTTGGGAATATTTGCGGGTACGAGTGCCAATGCGTTTGTGGGAAACCGCCGGGGAGAAAGAACTATAGCTCGAGGTATAATAGCTCGTCCGTCGGCACTCCGGGGAGATCTTTCCTTTGAGATTTTTATTGCATCATTTAAAAAAAAATTGTGGGAAAAAATGTTTTTTATTTTTATTTTTTCTATTTGTTTCTTGTTATATATATATTTATTGGTAAAAGGGGGATTAGGGGAAAAAATAAATAACTATAAGACTATATTTGAGTATATATGGTGATGAAGGGCATGTGTTATGTGGAAGTTAGGAGGTTATGAATTAGGTAACTTCTTTCCTAACTAGTTTATAATTTCTTTTCATGTTCTTATCATTCCATATTTTTATTTTTATTTTTTTATTTAAATTCTCTCTCATGTATAAATTGTAATGGATTATTCTTTTATTTTATATACATTTTTCAATATGTTTCTCTGTTTATAAGTTGATTAAATTCTTGCTCTTATTTTTTTAGTTTCGAATTAATTTTTCCTTGTTGGTAGGTAATTAACCTTAATAGTGACAATTTGTTAAAAGTTCGTGTACATTAATTAACCTTAGAATATCTGGATTTTCACAGTTTGTTAAAAGTTATCTAGAGAATTACGCTTTTGGTCCCTCATGTTTGGCTCAATTAACTATGTAAACACTTAACCAATTAAAAAATAGCACCCTAATTACTTAATTAACTATGTCTTGTTTAACCAATCAAACTAGGCTAAAGATTCTAAATGAGGTGGCCACGTTGGATAATACCAAGTATATTAAACATTGACCTAATAACTAATACATCTATATTCTAACAATAAGCTTCTAATCGTCGAATCTTATATATTATAAAAAGACTTGAATGTTAGGCCAACCCTAAACAACTGATGATAACATATTTTTGTTTATTTTTTTTCTCTACAATTTTTTTGGGTTATATATATTTCTAATTGTTTTTTTTTTCTTTCTTATCTCAGTAAATGTACAAGTTGCGTATTCTCATTAATCGAAGATGATAAATTGAGAAATATATAGATTATAAAAGGTTGTGATAAATCATTCTGCTAGAAAAAAAAAAAAACTATAATTGAAACGGTATTATACATTTTCGTTGAATTAATTTAATTTTTTTTTGTTGAACAAGTATTTATTATTTAGATGTGTGTGATTTTCCAAATAATTCTTTACTTTATATATTTTAAGTGATTTTCATGAGAAAATAAATAAACAGCCCGTGCATGTATAATTTAACTGTTTTGGGGTGGTAACTCGTGAGTTGGTTCAAGGTCCTAGTATTGAGTACTGACGGCCGCAGTGTGAGAATTTTCACTCATGATTTACATTCCACCATTAAAAACCGGTTAAAAAAATAAATAGTGCAAATTACGGCCACCCCTGAGTTATGGTCATATTACGAAAACCCACCTCATGTTAGGGTAATTACAGCCACCCCTCAACTATGAATTATCTTACGAAAAATATATATACCCCTCTATAGGTAAATTTAGGGATGTTAAATCGGTAAAAATCGAACCGAAATTTTGGTACGTCAACATTTCACACCGTTTACCGAACATAATATACGACCTGGTTCGATAAATAGTTGAATTACATGAATTTTATATGTAAAAATATATATATTTAAAAGAAGGGATTTTTTTTCCGTAATTTGACCATACATAATTTGCCAAAAAATAAATAAACAAAATTCCCACTTGAAACTATAATTAATTAGTTAAACTTGGTCAAATCCTAATAAACGTTAAATATAATCATGCCAGAAGATATTAATCAGAAATTAAAGTTTCTGCAATTTCATTTTTGTTTGTTTCAAGGGAGAGATAATTAGTTAGTGAGATAATGAACGAGATACGAGAAGTGGCGAAAGCCTACTACTCGAGGGCAACGGCGGAGGAGAAGAAATTGGCCACGATGTACTTCCGGTCACTCGACTTAAACGGCGACGGCAAAATCAGCCTAGCGGAGTACAAGAAAATGGTCAACCCTTGGTTCTCGAACAACAGACTTTTCACCGAACTCGACCGTAACGGCAACGGAACCCTAGATTTCGACGAGTTTTTGGCCCTCTTCTACATGCAGAGAGTACCTATTCCCAAGTGCGATGCATGTAACAATATGCTGTTCGGGTCATACTTTTCATGCTTGCTCTGCGAAAAAGATTTCCCCAATTCGTACGATCTTTGCTGCCGCTGCTACGGCGGAGGGAAATACAAGCACCACCACCCACGCGCCAGCTTTATGGATAACCGCTCTCAGCGGTTGCTGCTGGCTGAGTTCATGAAGCAATCTCAAGTTACTGTACCTGATGACGAGGTAATGATATGATCAAATTACGAAAAAATCCCCAAGGTATGGTCAAATTACGAAACCCCTTATGTTTGGGTAATTACAATTACCACCCTCAACTATAAATCTTCTTACACGTCCACCTTTGCGATGTCAAATTTAGTGGAATCTTCTAGATTATATGGAATATTCTCAATTTTGTACCCGTTTTATCCCATTCGAGCTCCATATTTTGAAGCAAGATGATCATAAAATGTATTATTTGGCTTTTATATATATATATATATATATATATATATATATATATATATATATATATATATATATATATATATATATATATATATATATATATATATATATATATATATATATATATATATATATATATATCATAATTTACATTTTGCATAAAACGAGTACAAACTAGAAAATATTCCACGGAATCTAGAAAATTACGTTAATTTGACTCCTTAAGGGTAGACGTGTAAGAAGATTTATAGTTGAAGGGTAGTTGTATAATTATCCAGACATGAGGGTTCTTTTTCGTTTTTTAACCATATCTCAGGACGGTTGTAATTTACCCTAGTATTTAATTATTCTTTTTAGATATTCCATCCAGTAAAAAAGAAAATTCCAACATATTAAAATTTAAAATACAAATTAAATAGTGCTCGATTATACGGACAGGTAATGATGGAGAATGTCCAGACAATTAGCCGATCTCTATCTAAACCGGTGAGCCCTCTTTCAGACTCTTAATGATGATATAGTAATTAACTGTTAATTGTTTTATTTTTCTTTTAATAAAAAATATTAATAGTTAATTTAATTGTTTTTTCCCTTTCTAAAAAGTAGATCAATACTTAGCAATCTTAAAGTTTGAGATGCCTAATTATTAATTTATGTATAATTAGGGGACTGGAAGGCAAATGTTCGAGGCATTCAGTAATGGACTAAATATTGGAGGTGTTATAGTTACCATTGGAACCCTTGGAGTTGCAGCTGGCTGCTCTATCATGTAATTACCGGCATGCCACTCGACTCGGTTATTTTCCGATGTATATACACCCGGCCAACAATTACTCGAGGCCGAGTTGAAACTTCTCTTTACGTACCCTAATCATTTGATCCCAAATTTTATCGTCATCTTGAAAATTACCGAAAAAAATCGCGGTAATGCTTTTTTTTTTTCTTTTAACATATATTGTTTTATTCTTCAAGTTGTTTATTTCTTCAAGTTGTTCTTTCTTTATAACTTTTCGCACTTGAAGTTCAGTTATATCTTCTTTTTTTTAATTGCAATTTGACGATTTGGCTAGATCATGCTAAATAATATTCCGTTTTCCTTAAATAAATAATTCGTAATTTATTTGCAACTACGTGCCAGTCATTTCATAACATGTATAAGTCTTGCTATATTTTATACCCTTAACTTTTAGGGTTGAATTGGAACCGGTAATCGCTCTATCGGATGAGAGTACTTCCGACATTTCTCGAAAAATACGAATAGTATATAGTTATTATTACTCACCTTATATCGAAAATATAAAATTTTATTTGATGTTTGATTAACCCAATAAAATTTCAGGTTTCGATCCAAAAAATATTTTTATCATGTCATATCATGGCTTATAGTTAAAGGAAGATAATTGAAATTTATGGCGTCCAATTAAATAAATTTAGCTACTTAATCCCCCCCGCTCAATGATCTATTCCATGAAATAAATAAAAAAATTAATGTCATACCAAACGAAATTAAAAAAAGATTAAAATAAATATCATACGAAACGAACAACACCAACATCTTCTCCAAGATTAATTAATGTGCATAATAATTTTGTTTTCTTTTACAACTCATAATTAATAGATGAGAAAGAAAATGAAATATATGGAGTATCGTCTTTTAGTGTGGAATAGTCATACAATGCATGCCCTATCTATAATTATGAATATTGTCCGGATTGAAGAATTGACAAATTTATTGCATTAATAATTTCATTTTCTTCGACAACTCATAAAAAGTTAGGAAAATAAAATGAAATATATATATGGAGCATCTTCTAATGTGGAAAAGTCGCTCGAACAAAATTAACCACGGTTCGAAGAAATTTCCCTCGTGTCTTGTCGCCATATCGAGGAATTTTCCCGTGCAATCCCCCCGCATGGCTATGAGGCTGGATGGGTATTTCCACATTAGTATGATATTGTCCACATGGGCGAAGGCCGAGCCCGATTTTGCTCTTGGACTTCCCCCAAAGGGCAGCATATTAATGGAGATAGCATCCACCCTTATCTACACATAACCCTACTTGTACTCAACCGACGTGGGACTTTAGTTAGCATCTCACAAAATATATCGAACCATGGGAGGGATCGGAACCCTAGAAACTAGGAATTTCAACTTTTGGTGCAAGTACTACAATGTCTATTATTAATGTTAAAATAAAAAATTAAAAAAATTGACAGGTACATGTACCGCCAAGTTGGCTTCTCTAGACTTTAGTCCCTATGTTGTAGAGTTTTAATTTACATGCAATTTACTTAGCAAATTTGCTTTTGTGGACACTGATTTGGGGATTTTTGTCACTAGTACGAATATTAATTATACTATGGACAAATGATGCATGTGTAAAACATGAAATAAAACCTAAATAGCCACATCTTGTGTAAAAAAATCATATACCCGTACTCGCATGGATATAGCTTAACGAGTTTAGGCGTGGTAAATTAGTACAATGTTCTAGAATCGAATTACTAACAGCCATGGAGGCGAGATATTTCGCTTCTGGTACAAGAACCACATACCCAAGCATTGGTGAACAAAAAAAGGAAATTAAAAATATATTTTCGTCCATTAAATCTATCTCATATTCGGTGCTGATTGTCACGGAAAATAGATACAGTCCCTTAAATTTCGAAAATTTAAACAAATTTTCGTCTGTTTTTCGTGAACGTTGTATATATCAAGCATGTGCCCACCAATGTCGTGATTGACTGACTAACAATAAATTGACACAGAAATGACAAAAAATATATAATTATTGAAACACGAAGGACTAAAATGTCAAATCGAGGTAAATTTGAGGAATGAAAAAAGTTAATTTTTCCTGACAAAGAAATATATATATACAGTGATGACGTAAACGAAATATATATAGTTATGACGTAAGCGAGATTACGTGTGGGGGAAAGTCGTGGGAAGTCCTCCACCACATGTTTTGAATCTTAATTTTTGAAAGTCATATATGCCGGGTAGATTTTCGGGAGAGAGATAATAATAATAATAATAATAATAATATAATATATATATATATATATATATATATATATATATATATATATATATATATATATCATGCATAAATAAATAATATATATATATATTCTTTTTCGAAAGTTTCCGAATTAGAATGTAATGTAATGTATTATTTTGCCGGTTTTAACATGAACAGGTAATGATGCAGAATGTAGATCGATCGATTTCCAGATCGAACCGGGTGAGCCCTCTTTTAGACAAACTGTTGATTGATTAATTAGTGTTTTTATTTATTTTAATTAAGGCCTAATTATTTATTTATGCATGATATATATATATATATATATATATATATATATATATATATATGGTTAGGGGACTTCGAGGGACATGTTTCACGCATTGAGTACTGGACTAAGTGTTGGAAATGCTATGGTTAGCATTGGAAACTTTGTATTTAACTCTACTTGCTCCATCATGTAGTTAAGTGTATTTTGCTCGCAACTTTGCACCGTGTCGATTTTCCTACTGAATTTGTAAGCGTGCGAATATTGCATATGAACTCTCTATTGTATTGTATTGTATTTTTTTTTTCCTGTAATGAAAGAACGTGCATCCAACCATTATTATATTGAAAATATTTATTTTGGGTGGTGCAATGCATATATGGACACTGGATTGTAGTTTAATTTGTTTGTAACGAAATTAGGTGATTGGTGCATTTCGAAATTAATTAATTAGAAAATTGGAGTGTCGAGGCATGACTTAAATCCGTCCTCCATAAGATGAAATTGCTCCACACGAGCTAGTGTTATCGGTTCACAGAAATCGTCTCCAACAAACAACTTTTTCATATTTGAGATAGTAGCACTACAAATCTCGAATTCCGACGACCAAAAGTGAATAGTCACAACTTTTTGAAAATCTACAAGTCCAAAAATATCAAATATCTTTCGTAGTAGGCTTGCTTACGGGATTCTACATCTGGTGAAATAATACATCACGTGATTTTAAACCGTAGATTTACATTAATAATTGCCCACTAAGTATACATACACATAGGTGTGTGTGTGTGTTATTATGTGCAGATCATTAATGTTGTAAGACAACATTATATATTTCTCCAGGTGTAGGTTCTACACAACCGAGTAAACACCTTCCGTTTAACGAGTGCCTAGGTGTCTATTCCAAACAATTCTTTAGTTTTCATAATATTTCAAGAAGTTTATTATGTTTATTACACCCAAATTAATTAATTTGGAGAAAATAAATACACAAAATCATTCTAGAAAGACTAGAAATTTAGGATTGACTTTGGGTCAAGATCAATTAAGAATCTCTACAAATTAGATCCCAATTGACTAGTTCAACATGCATTATACCCTCTTATACAAACTCTCCTAACAGATTTTTTGTCATCTTGAAAATGACTTTATATATATTTATAACAAAGTAATTGCAAAGTAACAAACTTTCTCAAGTTTTCGAAAAATAATGCATCCAAATGTGGGTTTAAATATTTCGGGTATTCAGGGACAACGACTTATTAACATCTTCAATTTTCTTTTTAATTGTTATTCACATAAAATTGCTAGAACTAAAATAGCAAAAATTTAAGTTTAGTATT